CCCCAGGAGTCCCCAGTAGGGCACCCTTGAGCACAGTCATGTAAGGAAATGCTTTCACATCCATATGAGGTTATTAACAATACCATGGCTTGGGTCAGGTGCACTTCAGTCCTCAGACATCTTTGCTCTTCAACACTTTAAAAGGTTTTGTGCACTAGATTTGTCTAATACAGTTTGATTTTGTGACTGCTGCTTCCATGAATATTGATGGTTGATTAGAGCAAAATGAAGTCTATGACAACTTCAACCTTTTCTCCATTTATATGGATGTTATTTATTGCTCCAGTGGTTAAGATTTTTATTTTTATTACTTTGGGTGCAACTCCTACTAAAGGCTGTAGTTTTTAAACTTCATCAGTATTTCAAGTCTTTTAAGTGCCGTGGAGTCTGTTCTGACTCATAACGACCCTGAATAGGGTTTCCAAGGAGTAGCTGGTAAGTTTGGTGGTCGAACTTACTGCTCAAACCAAGCTGGAGGTCCAGTGCTTATCCTACAGTGCCACATCTGGACTCCCAGCAAAGTATTGGTGGCCATTGTCAAATGCCGCCATAGAAGAGAGACTAGGAAGAAAGAGAGGCAGAGTACTTCTGAATGGTTAGTCACTGAAAACTGTGTGGATAGCTGCAGATCTTCATTGTCAGACATGGTGCCAGAAGATGAAAACTTTATGAATAGCAGTGGAACATTGCCAGATGTAGTGCTAGAAGATGAGCCCCTCAGGTTGGAAGGCACTCAAAATATGACTGGTGAAGAGCTTCCTCTTCAAAGTAGAGTTGACCATGATGATGCAAGTGAAATACACCTTTCAGAACCTTCATGTGCTGATGGAATACAACTGAGAATGAGGAGAAACAGTTGCAAACATCATTAATATTTGAACATGAATCACAAAGTCTGAATCTAGGAAAGTTGGAAGTCGTCAGAATGAAATGGAATGCATACTGATCAATATCCTAGGCATTAGTGACCTGGAATGGACTGGTTTAGGCCACGTGATTTACTATGCCGGGAATGACAAATTGAAGATGAGTGAGTGACATCACATTCATAGTCAAAAAGAACATTTCAGATCTATCTTGAAGTACAGTGCTACCTGTGATACAATAATATCCACACGCCTACAAGAAA